TTAGTTCTAAAGAGATTTTTGAGCAAAAATAACCAGCCCAAATGGCAACCAAAACCAAACATTTCTTACGACAAATTGTTACGGAAGGATTTTTTGCAAAGTGTTATAACATCTACCGTTGAATAAGTAATCATTTCCTACTTATTCAATGCATCTACAAAGCGGACCAAAGTTCCACTCTGCACTTCTGAGTTTTATACTTAATTTGTAAGCATTGTTAATTAATTCAATGTAAATATGTCTAAATAGGTACACTTTCAATTTGACAACTGTGTATTCTTTATCGATATTTATGAATTACATCGAATAGAAGAGGGGACTAATTGCTTCATGGCTTTAGAAGCTTGTCACTAGATGTCGCTACTCTAATTTTAATCTTTTAGTTCACAGTATCCACCAGGGTCCGCCAAAATACCATACAAATTTGTACTGTTTCTATTCTGAGTAAGCCTTAATCTGTAAACTGAACTACTACTAACATTAAAGAAACAGTAAATAATTCAAACAATTTTATTGATATTGTATAATAACAGAAATAATTGAATTAATTAATGTAGAGGTAACACCATCTCGGTTTCAAGGTTTGCAACACGTTTTGAAAATGATTGAGCAAGGATTGTCGGACTTAACGTCGCTGAAACATAAAATAAATATCAATTAATAGTTCTTAAGTTAAGTTTGGGAATGAAATAAGAACATTTCTATTGCAATTAAAACTTACGTTGGCAATTATTATTACGTACCTAGGTATTCATAACAGTTACGGTGAAAAGATTAAAATAATGCTACAATTTCTCAAATCAATAATTAAAGAGTCATTACTACTTTCTTAAAATACAATTTCATGTCAGATTCGATATTCGTTAGCTACCGTTAATTATATACATACAAACAAATTCAAAAAGAGCATACCATTGTTCAGATCCTGCAGGGCACTCTTTAAGCCATAATTCACAGGTGCAATTTTCTTTCGTCTTTTGTCCGCTGCAGTCAGCCATTGACAAGCCAACAAACGCCAATACCAAAAGAGTACAAATAATGAGACCTTTCATGTTGAACACCTTTCTGTCTGTCCACCGTAATTCATTGCTATATATACCTATACTGCAGGAAATTGGGTATAATCTGATTACTTATCATGTCACATATTCGATTAGTTGCACTTAAAATAAGCTATTTTCGTCTAAAAACAATTCGAAAACAATTTTGGGTCCAATGGTTAATTCTTTCAAAAAATGCCTTGCTCCATAAGTCATCACTCATCACGAAGAAAGTTAAAGGTAATGCTGTTGCGCAGATAGTCACAAAAAACGTGTAGTGGAGAGAAATTTTGCAACACTTCACTGTTTCGCAAAGATTACAGGCATCTATGCAAAACATAGTGCTGCCGTCTTTTTTCTTTACTAGCACCACAGGTGAGGTCCAAGAGCTGCTGGATGGTTCAATTATTCCTTCTCTAGTCATGTCGCCGATGATTTTATGGGCTTCGTCGTGTTTGGCCCATGGTAACCTTCTGGGATGTTGCTCGATAGGTTGGGCATCTCCCGTAGGTATTTATTTTATGTGATATTGTTTTGGTCGACAAGTCTTTTCTGAAGTAAACACGTCTTGGTAGCGGCAAATTAACCTTCTAGCCTGGCCCTTTTCGCTTGCTGGCAGATTCTTGCATAAGCCTTGATTGAAGCCTTTCAAAGTGTCATCAATCTTGACTGTATTTACACAACGCGCGATTGTAGCTACTGGGGCACACGTTCCAATCTCAGTGCCCTTCTTAAACATGGTCGGGAATGAGTTGACGATGCTCACCCCTTCCCGTCGACCCGTTTTAATTTTCCTGTGGTTGCTGCGCTTTTGGGGAATTTCTTCTAATGTGTCCATTTTTACCACAGGCCCCAGCATCGCAGTCCTCGGTCGTTTTGTTTGTTGCTGTTCCAACCTCTAATTGCTCCAATATTTTCTCTATTTCTTCCATAGTTGCGTACTTATCTTCTGTAGCTATAGTGAGCACGCGAGCATTACCAGGAGGGTCTATGTTCTGATGTCACGCAAGTTTCAAAGCTTGTTGCATTTTCACGTCGCGAACACCATTGATGAACGTCCGCACCGCCAGCTGCTCTATATAACTTTCTGGAGCCGTATGATACCCAATATTGTCATCACGGCTATATCGGCTTCGAGTTTCGTCTGATTTTTGGGTTCTGTTTTTTAATTGGGCGTATTATTAGGTACACCAGCCTTAAATGTTTATCCCCATAAGAGCTTCCAACCGTGATACAATTTGTTCAAAATCATTCTTCTGGTGTTCCGGAATCGTACGTGTCTCAAGTAAATGGGGTAGAACTGTGATACGTGCTCATGCAGTCTATGCTTGGTCACCCTGTACAATATATGGTAGAAAGGTAGCCTTGTAAAGTAAGATTCGAATTAATTAAGTCGAACGAAGGAACTAAGCATCTTAGGTATTTATTCCGCTTGGTCAGGGCAAATGTAGAGTAATATAATAAAGATATTTGTAATTTTTTTCGCATACATTGGCTTTTTTGGTAGTTTCTTAGTTTTTGAGAAAGAATTAAACTACTCATTTTATAATTTTTCTAAATTTGCACTTTTCTCAGAAAGTAGGTAAGCTCCATAACGAAAAATGTTAAATATAAAAAAAATGTGCCTTGATCAGCTGTACAAAAAAGTCTCATCCATTTTTTGGGTCAGAGGTAAATATACTCCGAAAATCAGCAGTTTTATTAAAATTTGACATATTTGACCGCTCCTCCCAACCTTAAGCCACGGGATCTCGCTGGTAGACATGACTTTTGCTACTGCACTATGTATCAGGATTCAGGATACTTTACATAAACAATCGGCTATGTAGCGATAAGTAACTTTTTTCCGTAGCCAGCCCTTAAGGAAAATAGAATGGATCCCAGCACGGTGTATGCTTTTATAAACCCTTAAAAGCTTTTGTGAACGTTTAAGCATAGTTACAAGCCTGTAAGAGTCTCAAACGTGGGTTTCGCCCAAAAGGTCCCCATGAATTTTACAGAAGTCTTTAAGATATTCCCTTCTCTTAATGAACCTTTAGGCGATGTTGTGGGTTAAGTGCGCTCAAACGTAGCTGTCGAATTAAGACCCTCTTTTTGAATGCTTTAACGTCTGAGGCTTGTAGTATTTACGATCTGTTAAGCGGCCTTAAGAATCGCCGATAATCACAAAAATTTCCAAAACCGTCTCATACAACAGTTTTTTAATCCTTCAATAGATGTTAAAGCTCACCGAAAACTCTCAAAAGATTTAACAATATTTAAGAGCTTTAAAGCCTGGTACACACCTCCGATTTTTCGACGTGCGGGGCCAGTGCAGCACCGCGACGCGACGGCAGCCGCAAAACTTGATTCAGACGATGCGGTTAAATAACGAAGTCCGTATTCTGTTGATGTCTAGTGTGGACGTGTAGAGCAAGAAAAGTGGGATTGCGGCGTATACTTAATTTATTTAAATGTTGTATCAAGTAACGCAACTCCGGCACCGCAGCGGCCCGCCGCATGTCAAAAGATTGGATCTGTGCACCGAGCCTTAAGACACAGCCTTAAGAGTCCGTTTTCACGTATCTCCAAGAACTTTTAATAGCCTACACGAGTATAACCGAAGCCACCATTACGGTGGCTTCGGTATAACATACGGATCTAAAATTATTGAATAACAAGTATAAGTGGATTGATTTGATAGGTGTATATCAAACGTTACCTAACTCCTTGCTGAAAATTGATAAGGGCATTATAATTGTTGTAAACACTTTTATTTATTGATATCTTGACTTTGTTATCAACAGAAATTACGTTGTTCATAATAGCTACCTACCTTTTCTGTTTTTAACTGATTTACCTACATTAAATTTTATGACGTAGGTAATTGATTCATTTTTGAAAACTTTTTTTAAATGGAAATTAAGGAAACTATAAACATTTACATATAATCAGAAAATAGTACTAAAATCATTAGAACATTAGAAAATTGATAAGGGCATTATAATTGTTGTAAACACTTTTATTTATTGATATCTTGACTTTGTTATCAACAGAAATTACGTTGTTCATAATAGCTACCTACCTTTTCTGTTTTTAACTGATTTACCTACATTAAATTTTATGACGTAGGTAATTGATTCATTTTTGAAAACTTTTTTTAAATGGAAATTAAGGAAACTATAAACATTTACATATAATCAGAAAATAGTACTAAAATCATTAGAACATTAGAAAATTGATAAGGGCATTATAATTGTTGTAAACACTTTTATTTATTGATATCTTGACTTTGTTATCAACAGAAATTACGTTGTTCATAATAGCTACCTACCTTTTCTGTTTTTAACTGATTTACCTAAATTAAATTTTATGACGTAGGTAGGTAGCAGCGAAGGATTGAGCTTCTCCTCTTCTGGTACAGCTCTATTTAACAGAAGCTATTCTCGAAAATTCTATGAGTTATGGCGTGATCGTGGCGTCATCAAGATACCACACATTCAGGTCTGAGTTACAACACCGCCAGCACCATATCTAAGCATAGGGATATTACATAATTGTAAATAAGTTCCATACATAACAGCCTTTTGAAAAAAAATTAATAAATAAACTGCACCAATATAGACAACGAGCGACAAAGTCACTTCCGGTTGACAAATACTGACCAAAATTTAATCAATTAGTCCCTTTGACCATTGTCTACTTATTGCTGCAAACAGAATTAGAAATTCAAAACCGTTAGTGAGATATCGTGTCCACAGGCCGACGGACAGAAAGTCCAAAATCAAAACTCGCTTTTTGTCGCTCGTTAATAATGTTCATAATAGCAATTTGCCCATACTTTGTTTCACTGGTGCTGAAAATGACGTTATAAATGTGATTATCTCTTCATTGCATTGGATAGAGAACATTGTGGATTTTTACACGTCTAAACACCATAAGGTGGCAAGTATATTATCTGTTCCGTAATCCGACCGAACTTGCTTCTAAAGCTAATAAATTAGTGTGCACTCGTGCGCCAATCTTAAGTGTTGCAAAATTTCTCTCCACTACACGTTTTTTGTAACTATATCTGCGCAACAGCACTACCTTCAACTTTCTTCCCGATGACTTATGGAGCAAGACATTTTTTGAAAGAATTAACCGTTGGACCCAAAATTGTTTTCGAATTGTTTATAGACGAAAATAACTTATCTCAAGTGCAACTAATCGAATGTGTGACATGATAAGTAATAAGATTATACCCGATTTCCTGCAGTACAGGTATACATACAGGGTGACAATTTGAAAACTTACCACCCCCCATATCTTAGTAAATAAACGAGATATTTAAAAAAATTAAAATTCGTTTCGGTAATTCGGAGGGGGAATCACAATGACATAGTTGGCGACGCACCCCCTCACACCCCCTGCGCCCCAGCAACCCCAACTTTTAAATCTTAAATAGTGACCCCCCATGTGTGATACGTCGTTGGAAAGCTCTGAAAAAATGCTTTCCAACTATACCAAATAGCATTACATTTAGGTTAGTAATTATCGTGCAAATAAAAAAATAAACATGGAAAATCGTATTTAACTTGAACTTCCAAAGCCGACTCGACAGCAACTCATTTTTGATCGTCAGTTATAATCTATTCTCAAACTCTTGTCGAACCTTTCCAATGTTGGTTTTGCAATATTTCGACATTCTTGAATTATTCTCTGTCTTAGTCCGTCTATGTTCGCCGGTTGCGTTTTAAATACGACAGATTTCAAATGTATCATATTAGTTTATTTTTTGATTTGCACGATAATTACTAACCTAAATGTAATGTTATTTGGTATGGTTGGAAAGCATTTTTTCAGAGCTTCCCAACGACGTATCACACATGGGGGGTCACTATTTAAGATTTAAAAGTTGGGGTGGCTGGGGCGCAGGGGGTGTGAGGGGGTGCGTCGCCAACTATGTCATTGTGATTCCCCCTTCGAATTACCGAAACGGATTTTGATTTTTTTAAATATCTCGTTTATTTACTAAGATATGGGGGGTGGTAAGTTTTCAAATTGTCACCCTGTATATAGCCATGAATTACGGTGGATAGACAGAAAGGTGTTCAACATGAAAGGTCTCATTATTTGTACTCTTTTGGTATTGGCGTTTGTTGGCCTGTCAATGGCTGACTGCAGCGGACAAAAGACGAAAGAGAATTGCACCTGTGAATTATGGCTTAAAGAGTGCCCTGCAGGATCTAAACAATGGTATGCTCTTTTTGAATTTCTTTGTATGTATATAATTAACGATAGCTAACAAATACCGAATCTGCAATGAAATTGTATTCTAAGAAAGTAGTAACGTTGAGTGAAAAATAGTAACGACTCTTTAATTATCGATTTGAGGAATTGAAGTGTTATTTTTATCTTTTCACCGTAACTATTATGAATACCTAGGTATGTACCTACGTAATAATAATTGCCAAGGTAAATTTAACTGCCTCCTCTTTAGTTCAACAATATTTGCAATAGAGATGTTCTTATTTCATTCCCAAACTTAACTTAAGAACTATTAACTGACATTTATTTTATGTTTCAGCGACATTAAGGCCGACAATCCTTGCTCAATCATTTTCAGAACCTGCTGTAAACCTTGAATCCAAGATGGTGTTACCGCTACATTAATTAATTCAATTATTTCTGTTACTATACAGTATCAATAAAATTGTTTCAATTATTATCTTTTTCTTTACTGTTAGTAATGTATGGAATTAGTTCTCCCTTCCACTCTGACGTAACCCGCCGCCGTCATTTGACGTCTCTCGACAAAGTATGACGGTCGGGTAATGGTAGAAATTGACACATTCAAGTGTTTTTCCCAAGAGGTACTGCAACTTTTTAGCGCATTTTTGCAAATTTATTTGTAAAAAGTAGCTTTTAATCTCACTTTGGCTGGCTGGCTGGCTGGCAGCAAATGTGGGCGCATAGAAGAACTCTTGTAGAAAGGCAACGGGTGTACGTGTATCTACAGGGCCGTGAAATTTGTCAACCTTAGGGACATGGCTACATGATGTGGGGTTGGCGACATCTGGGCGTCATTCTCGAGCGTAGTATATTAACAGTTTTGGTCCGATTCTTTTCAAATTGGTGTCGTCGGAAAGATGTTGTACACGCGCACAACTCCTGCGTGGCGGAATGTTGTTTTTTGTACTAGGGGAGAAATTAACGACCTTTTGCGAGGCGCGCGCGCGCGTCTTCGAAAAGTAGTCAACTTCGGGCTCCTTTTACCTTCCGTTGCGAACTCACGCGGTTTAACGTTTCGTAAATCTCGAATCGCTGTCTCTCTTTCTCGTGCCGCCAATAGAAGTGAATTGCGAGTGAACGGGACGTCGGAAGTGGGTACCGTCAAAGAGAATGTGGTAGTCCGCGACACGATCTTACTGATGGTGGAGTCAAATCTTCAAACGCGAATTGCGGGTGAACGGGACGTCGGAAGGGGGTACCGTCAAAGGAAATGTGGTAGCCCCCGGCACGATCTTCC